ATGACCAAAAGTAAGTTAGAGAATACCTTTTGATGACTCCGAGAATAATTTTGATAGCTCTGAGAATGACTTTTGTTGTCTTGGAATAACTTTTGATTGTTCTGAGAATAACTTTGAGGGCTTAGAGAATGTTTTTGATGAATGGAAGAGTCCCATTGAAGTCTTAAGGAAGTCTTTGATGTCTCGAAGGATGTCTTAGAGTGTAACTTTGGTGTCTTTGAGTAAGTCCTTGATGTATTGAAGAGTGTCTTTGATTTCTCGAAGAGTAACTTTGGTGTAACGGAGAGCACCTTTGACTATTTTTCTTACTTGACGACATATAATTTTAGTTACGAAAGTGTTGAAAAAGTTACATTTGACTATTTTAGTGCTCCACAAAGTATAAATGTCAGTTAAGAACGACGATGATAGATATCTTTGACTATATTTTCTGACTTGACGATGGATAAAGTTAGTTATGAACAGTGCTGAAAAGATTCCTTTGACAATTTTTAGCTAAGCGAAAGGCTGTTTTAGTTAAGAACAGTGTTGGAAAGAGACTACACATGACTATTTTCAGATGAGAGAAGTGATATTTTAGTTAAGAAATGACAAGGAAACATGATGAAGTAACTATTTTTAGTTGACTGATGAATACTTTAGTTAAGGAAAAAGACAAAACATGATGAACATGACTTTTTCTGTTGATTGATGGATAATTTTAGTTATGAAATGACAATGAAACATGAAGAACACTGCTATTTTCTGATGACTGGGGAATAAGTTTAGTTAAGAAATGATGAAAGTTATTATTTAGTTGATTGACGATGGATAAAAGCTAGTTATGAACAGTTTTGGAAAGTTTCCTTTAACAATTTTTTCTTGATGAAACATAGCGGCTGTTAAGAAAGTGCTGAAAGAAGTTTCCTTTGACAATTTTCAGCTAAGAGAAAGGTTGTTTTAGTTAAGAACAGTGTTGAACGAGGCTATTTCTGACTATTTTTAGTTGACTGGATAATAGGTTTAGTTGAGAAATGACGAAAGTGACTATGTTTTTGGTTGATTGGCGAAAGATTTTTTTAGTTAAGGAACGTTAAATAACATGTAAGGGAAAAAACCCAGAGAACATATGGGGAACATGGCAAAGAACACATGTAAGAAAAGTTGATGAATACAGTGAACATGCTGGGAATATGAACTTACAGAGAACATGAAAACATGATAAGGAGAATAGGGATTACAAAGAATGAACAATGGACTTGTGAAGAACATGGAGAATATGACAAAAGAATGTAGAAAACATGTAAGTGAAGGTGAAAAACGAAGTGATCTTGTGAGGAACATGAACTTGTAGAGGAACATGAATATTGACAAAGAACACAAAATATGGAAGTTAGCATGAATATTGAGTATAAAAGTTGTAAAGAGAACATGTGATGAATATGAAAACATAGAAAATATGACTAGAATTTGTAGAGAACATAATGAGACTAAGAGAAAGATTACATAAAAAATGGAGATACTTGTGAAAATATGAACTGAATGGGACTGTGAACATTTGTAGAACATGGAATGAACACAGAAAACACGGACAAAAAGTGAAGAACACAGCTGAATATAGAGAAAATATGCAAATACAGGGGGACAAGAGCTGGAGCTCGGTAACTGACTTGATCTTATTTACTACGTCTGAAAATGTAGTTGGGTGATTTGGACTGATAATAATGAATTTACAAAAGTGAGCTTGGACAGAGGACAAGAGCTAGAGTTTTATAATTGTTTACTTCATATTTACTATGTCTGAAATACAGAGGGTAAAAAATTTCAGGGAAATTGATGGTTTATTTACAAAGACTTGAGGGTGGAAGAGGGTGGGGGACGAGAGCTGGAGCTCGATAACTGACTTGATTTTATTTACTAACTTTGAAGTATGTCTGCTTTTAATTTTAGGGAAATTGATGGGTTATTTACAAAGATACGAAGGAGAACTAAGGCGGGGACGAGAGCTGGAGCTCGATAACTGACTTGATTTTATTTACGGTGTCTGAAATACAGAGGGTAGAAATTTCAGGGAAATTGGACTGTTATTAACGAAGACTTGAGGGTGGAAGAGGGTGGGGGACAAGAGCTGGAGCTTGGTAACTGTTTTGATCTTATTTATGGTGTCTGAAATACAGAGGCTAAAAATCTCAGGGAATTTGGACTGTTACTAATGATTTTGTACAAATGAACTAAGCTGGGGACAAGAGCTAGAGTTTGATAATTGTTTGCATTTACTAAACTATGTCTGAAATACAGAGGGTAGAAATTTCAGGGAAATTGGACTGATACTAACGAAGATACGAGAGAGAGCTAAGGCGGAGGACAAGAGCTGGAGCTTGGTAACTAAATTACTGTATTGAACTACATTTGAAATATGATTATTTTTAAATTTTAGAGGGATTGGAATGATAGTATTCATTATACGACAGGGGACTAAGGTGGGGAACGTGAGCTAGAACTTGCTTACTAACATGATTTATTTGTGTAAAACTGACTTGCTTAATGAAAAGGAGCAAACATACTGACTTGCTTAATGAAAAGGAGCAAACATACGATGTTGGAAAATAGTTGAACTGAATGAAAGGAGAGAGAGAGAGAGAGGAGGGACGGTCCAGATATTATGAGAAGATAACATAAGATAAGAGGTCTGGCTGACCGGGCGTAAAGTAAACACAGGTGAGGCGACAGATTGCGAGGTAAGGGGGGGAGGGAGGGGGGTGTGATGTACGAAACCCTGAAAACAATGACTTACACAGGTGATTTTCTAAATTTATATGAATAACTAAGGCTTACATAGACGATTTTGTAAGTTGAAAACATGTAAAATATGTCCGTAGAGTTCTCCTGGAAGCCCTAAAGTGCTACATACGTTATTTGAATTTCTCCCATAAGGCCTTAACAAACTTCTATGTCTCGGAAATTATTTTTCTCATAAGAACTTTAACAAAACTCGTATGACATTATTTTTCCTCATAAGAATTCCCTAATTCCAAATCTGTGACTCCCCAAATTCACCTGAAACCCTTGGGGCGCACAGGGGATATTTGACCTGAAACCCTTGGGGCGCACAGACGATATTCTAAATTTACCTGAAACCCTTGGGGCGCACAGACGATATTTGACCTGAAACCCTTGGGGCGCACAGACGATATTCTAAATTTACCTGAAACCCTTGGGGCGCACAGACGATATTTGACCTGAAAAAAAATATCGTCTGTGAGGCGCCTTCCCTACTACTGTGGTGGAGGCTGACTCCATACACAGTTTCAAGTGTAGATATGATAGAGCCCAATAGGCTCGGGAATCTGTACACCTGTTGATTGACGGTTGAGAGGCGGGACCAAAGAGCCAGAGCTCAGCCCCCGCAAACACAACTAGGTGAGTACACACACACACACACACACACACACACACCAGAAAGCAGTCCGTAACAGCTGTCAAACTCCCAGGTACCTATTTACTGCTAGGTAACAGGTGCATCAGGGTGAAAGAAACTCTGCCCATTTGTCTCTGCCGGCGCTGGGAATCGAACCCAAGCTACAGGATTACGAGTCCCGTGCGCTGTCCACTCAGCTCCCAGACCCCAAGCATGTGTGTGTGTGTATGTGTATGTGTGTGTGTGTTCCACCATTACCTTCCCTACCCTTCACCACCTTCCCTACCCTTCACCACCTTCCCTACCCTTCACCACCTTCCCTACCCTTCACCGCCTTCCCTACCCTTCACCACCTTCCCTACCCTTCACCACCTTCCCTACCCTTCACCACCTTCCCTACCCTTCACCACCTTCCCTACCCTTCACCACCTTCCCTACCCTTCACCACCTTCCCTACCCTTCACCACCTTCCCTACCCTTCACCACCTTGCCTACCCTTCACCATCTTCCCTACCCTTCACCACCTACCCTTCACCACCTTCCCTACCCTTCACCACCTACCCTTCACCACCTTGCCTACCCTTCACCACCTTGCCTACCCTTCACCACCTTGCCTACCCTTCACCACCTTCCCTACCCTTCACCACCTTCCCTACCCTTCACCACCTACCCTTCACCACCTTCCCTACCCTTCACCACCTTCCCTACCCTTCACCACCTACCCTTCACCACCTTCCCTACCCTTCACCACCTTGCCTACCCTTCACCACCTTCCCTACCCTTCACCACCTTGCCTACCCTTCACCACCTTCCCTACCCTTCACCACCTTGCCTACCCTTCACCACCTTCCCTACCCTTCACCACCTTGCCTACCCTTCACCACCTACCCTTCACCACCTTCCCTACCCTGTACCACCTTGCCTACCCTTCACCACCTTGCCTACCCTTCACCACCTTGCCTACCCTTCACCACCTACCCTTCACCACCTTCCCTACCCTTCACCACCTACCCTTCACCACCTTCCCTACCCTTCACCACCGTCCCTACCCTTCACCACCTTCCCTACCCTTCACCACCGTCCCTACCCTTCACCACCTACCCTTCACCACCTTCCCTACCCTTCACCACCTACCCTTCACCACCTTCCCTACCCTTCACCACTCTCCGTCTCTGTAACCATCTTCACTAAACACTTTGCCAGTAAAGGAACAGCGTCAGAGAAACTAACGTTCAGTAATTAACGTAGACAATAAGGTACCAGGTGAGCCTTAGTGAAGACGGAGTTAAGACATATTTAGTGAGGTTGGAATGTAGTGTAATTTGTCATTTGATGGAAAGATGGGAGCACATGGCTCGATCCCCACGCACTTATGACCCAGACCAGTCACCCTGCATAGTTTGGGCAGACTAGACTCAAGCGCCTGGGCCCCAGCCTTAAACAAACGAACATTTGTATAGAGAGCAAATAATAATGTCACACTAACCCTGATGTGATCGGGTGAATATAATGTTTAACTCTGGGAGTTGACTATATTTCTCTGGTGTGTGATATTGCCATTAGCTAAGTCGAGGGTCTTGTATGGTAACTGTTTTATTAAGTCATGGTGGAGAGACTTGAGAAGAGTGTAGTGCAGCGGCTGGTGAAGGAGAAGGTGACAGTTTTGGGAAGTGGTGCGTATGGCACTGTTAACTTAGTGAGGTGGCGCGGCAAGTTGGCGGCCCTTAAAGTGGCAAACTCCTATAGTGTTGGTAAGGAGTTGAGGCAGGAGGGTGAGGTCCTTACCCAGCTGAAGGGCGCAGGAGGCGCTCCCCTTCTCTATGGTGTGGCCACCGACCCTCCAGCTCTTCTAATGGCATATAAGGGTAAGAAAGCCCTTTATGACGTTTTCACAAGTAACCAACACAACTTACTCCAACTTGGACTGCAAGTCGGGCACAAGTTACAGGAGGTTCATAACTTGGGTTACGTCCACAACGACCTCAAGAGCAACAATATTATGGTAGAAGGACCACCTCGCTCTCCGACAGTTAGTATAATAGACTTTGGGTTGACGTGCCCGGACGGAACCTCCCTGGGCTTCATTATTGACCCGGACACCTTCCCATACTATGCCCCGGAGGTGTGTGAAGGAAAGAACAGTACCTTTGCCTCGGACGTCTTCTCTTATGGTCGTCTTCTGCAGACCCTGGTGAGAGTAACACACACCCACAACCCGTCACTACACCTGCTGCTCCAGCAAGCCACACACCCACACCAAACCCGCCGCCCAACTTTACACAATCTACTCCAACATTTACGGGGACACGTTGACACTGAGAGTCCCAGTAAGAAGCGGAAAAGGGCCCCCAACCACGACACCCCCGCCAACATGGGCCAGACTAAGAGACGGAAAAGGGGCCACAACCACAACACCCCCGACAACACAGGCTACACTAAGGGACGGAAAAGGGGCCTCAACAACGACACCCCCGCCAACATGGGCCAGACTAAGAGACGGAAAAGGGGCCACAACCACAACACCCCCGTAAGAGACGGAAAAGGGGCCACAACCACGACACCCCCGCCAACATGGGCCAGACTAAGAGACGGAAAAGGGGCCACAACCACAACACCCCCGACAACACAGGCTACACTAAGGGACGGAAAAGGGGCCTCAACAACGACACCCCCGCCAACATGGGCCAGACTAAGAGACGGAAAAGGGGCCACAACCACAACACCCCCGCCAACACAGGCTACACCAAGGGACAGAAAAGGGGCCACAACCCCGACACCCCCGCCAACACAGGCCACACCAAGGGATGGAAAGGGGCGCCAGACAGGTCCGTCCGAGCACCTCTTCCCAGGTTGGCTCCGCCCTTCCCGCCTCATTATTGTCCCTTACGGCATCGTTTCCTTCCGTTTGTCCTCTTGCTTTACCTTCCTGTGGCGCTGTGATTAACGCCTTGGGCTGCACGGTAGAGCCACGGTCTCGCTTCATGCAGGTCGCCGTTCAATCCCCGACCGTCCAAGTGGTTGAGGCACCATTCCTTCCCTTCGGCCTATCCTAAATCCGTATCCTGACCCCTTCCAAGTATTATATAGTCGTAAGGGCTAGGCGCTTTCTCCTGATAGTTCCCTTTCCTTTTCTTTTCTTTTGTGTGTGTGTGTGTAAGGAGAGGGGGAGGGGGAGGGGGAGGGTGTTAGGGAATGTTTGAGGGGGGGGGAGATCAGATGTAAAGATGAATCTTTATCAGATGAATCTTACAAATTTATCAGATGTAAAGACGAATCTTTACATCAGATGAATCAGATGTAGATCAGGTCTTCCTGTGGGCTACAGAAAATAATATGGTGTTTAACGAGGATAAGTTCCAGCTCATGCGCTATGGAAAAAAAATGAAAATATAAAAACAGAAACCACGTACAAAACTCAGGCAAATCATAACATAGAACGGAAAGGCGATGTAAAGGATCTGGGTGTACTCATGTCGGAAGACCTTACCTTTAAAGAACACAATAAAGTAGCCGTCACAACTGCAAGAAAAATGACAGGTTGGATAACAAGAACCTTTCACACCAGAGATGCTATACCGGTGATGATACTTTTCAAGACGCTTGTGCTCTCTATTTCCAGATAATACTGGAAATAATATCAAGATCAACATTACATTACCAGGATGATGTAGTAATAATTTTAACTCTTATTATGTTATATATATATATATATATATATATATATATATATATATATATATATATATATATATATATATATATATATATATATATATATATATATATATATATATGTTTGGGCTGGCAATGTTCTCATTTGGTCTCTCTCTTTCTCTGTCTCTCTGTCTCTCTCTGTCTCTCTCTGTCTCTCTCTGTCTCTCTCTGTCTGTCTCTCTCTCTCTATCTCTCTCTCTCTCTCTCTTTCTCTCTCTCTCTCTCTCTCTCTCTCTCTCTCTCTCTCTCTCTCTCTCTCTCTCTCTCTCTCTCTCTCTCTCTCTCTCTCTCTCTCTCTCTCTCTGTCATAGGGAAGGGAAGGGAACTATCAGGGGTAAAGTGCCAAGCCATCACGACTATATAGCACTGGGAAGGGATCAGGATAAGGATATTTCACAAGGAAAATAGTCTAAGGAGGAAATAATGAGTAAGACAACTAGTGAAGTGATGATTGATGGTTGCCGTGGCGGCGGCAGCGTGCAGGGCCAGCAAGTCTCGCTACACGCTGACCCAGTAATGAGGCCATTACAGCTGCACGACGGAAGTGCATCTTAGTGAGTGTTCCCACCAGTCAATTACACCCACAATAGTTGCTCCTCAGAACCTGTTTCTGTGTGGCAGGGCTTGTCAGAATGGTGGTGGTGGTTGTGTTGGTAGTGGTGGTGGTGGTAGTGGTGGCGGTGGTAGTGGTGGGTGGTGGTGGTGAAGGGGGTGGGTGGTGGTGGCGGTGGTGGTGATGGTGGTAGTGGTGGTGGTGGTAGTGGTAGTGGTGGGGGTGGTGGTAGTGGTAGTGGAGGGGGTGGTGGTAGGCGGTGGTAGTGGTGGTGTAGTAATTAAGATGTCCGTATTGAAGGTCTCCAGACGGCTTCTGAGGTAGATGAGGAAGGGTAGGGCAGGTATGGTGAGGGAGGGTAGGTATAGTGAGGGAGGGGGAGCTATGGTGAGGGAGGGAGGGAGTGAGGGAGGGGAGGTATGGTTAAGATAAGATATAAAATTATTCGAAGAGGATGACAGTGACATTAACAGGTGTGTGAGAGATAAGAGAGCGAGAAGACAGCACCAGGTGTGTGAGAGGTGAGGAATGGCACTGTGGGGGGGGGGGGCGGGCCCAAGGCACCCTCACCACCTCGGGGAAGGTGGAAGGTAATTGAAGGAAGAGTGGCCTTGTTGGTGACTCTTGTACATTGTAATGTGAAGGATGGTGAGCCGGGGGGGGGAGGGAGGGAGGGAGGGAAGAGGGAGGGAAGGAAGAGGGAGGGAGAAAAGCAAGAGGGAGGGGAGGAAGATCGAAGCAGGAAAGGGAAGGGCAGAACTTTTCATGATTTAAACATTGTTGTGTATTTATGTATGGCTAAGTTAGTATTCCCTTATAACATACTAAGCATATATAACCTCCAACACCTTCACATCCATCTGCCGATTTTTTTCGTATTAAGTAAATCCCAAATAATAGTAATCCCTTCGCGGGGATTTAAGTTTTCTCCAAAATATTTTCACGTTCAAAATATCGAGATGCTATCGATTTAGTATATCACCTGTGCACGTATTTAATAAGTCAATATTGACTATACGAATTTGCGAGAACGGGTTGGCTTGTACGATGGGGTGTACCTGAGCCGCCCATTGGTAACACGCTGCCTGACGAGCCAAGGATGGGGCGGCCCCCCCCCCCCCCCCCCCCGCCCCGGGCCAAAGCTTGCTAAACGACTTTTAATTTAATTGTAATTTAATTTTGCCCCGAGGGGCGAGTGTATTGGGCAGCGCCACTCATCCTGTGAGTGGACACACCACCATAGTGACAGTATTGGGCAGCGCCACTCATCCTGTGAGTGGACACACCACCATAGTGACAGTATTGGACAGCGCCACTCATCCTGTGAGTGGACACACCACCATAGTGACAGTATTGGGCAGCGCCACTCATCCTGTGAGTGGACACACCACCATAGTGACAGTATTGGACAGCGCCACCCATCCTGTGAGTGGACACACCGCCATAGTGACAGTATTGGGCAGCGCCACCCATCCTGTGAGTGGACACACCGCCATAGTGACAGTATTGGGCAGCGCCACTCATCCTGTGAGTGGACACACCGCCATAGTGACAGTATTGGGCAGCGCCACTCATCCTGTGAGTGGACACACCGCCATAGTGACAGTATTGGGCAGCGCCACTCATCCTGTGAGTGGACACACCGCCATAGTGACAGTATTGGGCAGCGCCACTCATCCTGTGAGTGGACACACCGCCATAGTGACAGTATTGGGCAGCGCCACCCATCCTGTGAGTGGACACACCGCCATAGTGACAGTATTGGGCAGCGCCACTCATCCTGTGAGTGGACACACCGCCATAGTGACAGTATTGGGCAGCGCCACCCATCCTGTGAGTGGACACACTACCATAGTGACAGTATTGGGCAGCGCCACTCATCCTGTGAGTGGACACACCGCCATAGTGACAGTATTGGGCAGCGCCACTCATCCTGTGAGTGGACACACCGCCATAGTGACAGTATTGGGCAGCGCCACTCATCCTGTGAGTGGACACACCGCCATAGCAGCATGTACAACACTCCCCAATAGGAAGAAAACCCGCTGGGTTGTTCATCCTGTCACTTGTACCCAGACACAGCTGGGACTTGCTTAACTGTCTCAAGTGAACAGATCCTCAAACGTATTGGAGTTTGATTTCCGGCCCTTTTAAGCACGGCCAGCTATACGAAAGGAGTCAGGTCACACCAGACAAAGGTCCCAGTTCGATTCCCGTGGCTTCATCTGATGCCACGGTTCACGTGGTAGTGAATAGGCCCCCGGGGAGCGAGGCAACTGTTGTGGGTGGCATCCTAGGGAGGTGAATAGTTTGGTCAAGGGAGACCTCGATAAGCCTAACAGGTTTCGTGTCGGCGACAATTCGGGAACTGTCTTGTTTGTGAACGATGTTAACACAACTACTTCGATGTTTCTGAATCACTTGTGACACAAAAGATTATTGATGTGAGTATTTGTGTGGGTGAATAAATATGAATGTGTATGTATATATATATATATATATATATATATATATATATATATATATATATATATATATATGTCGTACCTAGTAGCCAGAACGCACTTCTCAGCCTACTATGCAAGGCCCAATTTGCCTAATAAGCCAAGTTTTCATAAATTAATTGTTTTTCGACTACCTAACCTACCTAACCTAACCTAAGCTAACCTTCTCGGCTACCTAACCTAACCTAACCTATAAAGATAGGTTAGGTTAGGTTAGGTAGGGTTGGTTAGGTTCGGTCATATATCTATGTTAATTTTAACTCCAATAAAAAAAATTGACTTCATACATAATGAAATGGGTAGCTTTATCATTTCATAAGAAAAAAATTAGAGAAAATATATTAATTCAGGAAAACTTGGCTTATTAGGCAAATCGGGCCTTGCATAGTAGGCTGAGAAGTGCGTTCTGGCTACTAGGTACGACATATATATATATATATATATATATATATATTGGTGTATACTGGCAGCAGGTTTTCTTTCAAACATGTTTCATTGAATATGACCGCATATTCTGTATTTATTATTTTCTGGTTTAGGGCTTCTATCCCTCTAACTATTTTCTTAGCATCAGGGCTTAATTGGAATAGGAGTTCTCCAAAACTCATTTTCGTACTTTTAAGGTGAAGAAAAGAAGTGATTTACTATAGAGTGTATTACACTTATTTGTATAATTTGCACGACGTTTCGAACCGAACATATCGATGCCAACACAGAAGACAATGTCCAACATAACAGGCCAATTACACTGGATTAATCTTTGTGTTTAGATAGGAGATGCCTCGTATGGGCCAATAAGCCTTCTGCAGCCCCTATGTTTATCCCTTATGTATCCCCCCATGTTTTCACCTTCATTGTATTATCACCTGACCTAATGCGGGTATAAAATCAACTAGTATTGTAATATCTGTCCACTTGAGAATGAACCATGGAGGTTCGAAACGTCGTGCAAATTATACAAATAAGTGTAATACACTCTATAGTAAATCACTTCTTTTCTTCACCTTAAAAGTACGAAAATGAGTTTTGGAGAACTCCTATTTCAATTAAGCCCTGATGCTAAGAAAATAGTTAGAGGGATAGAAGCCCTAAACCAGAAAATAATAAATACAGAATATGCGGTCATATTCAATGAAACATATATATATATATATATATATATATATATATATATATATATATATATATATATATATATATATATATATATATATATATATATATATGTACATGTATGCATGAGTATGTGTACATGTATATATAACATTAATAACTGTGTAACTAGCGTCAAAAGATTGTTATTTGCTAAGCTAAACGAACTAGAGGGTTCAGTTCCTGAACCGATTATGTGCCTCTGTAACCCTTTACACCCCCCCCCCCCCCCCACGGGATGGGTATGGGGTGCATAATAAAGAAAGAAATTGAATCAATGTTTACATGCGCTTGGGATGAGTGCGTTGTCAGCACTACGACACGGGAGGACGAGGGGGGGGGGAAAGAACGGGGGAATGAGAACACAATTGAGAGGCGGGACCAAAGAGCCGAAGCTCAACCCCCCCCCCCCGCAAGCACAACTAGGTGAGCACACAGTGGATATGAATATAAAGGGATAAGAGAGGGTGATGACGTCACAAAAGAGTGGTGACGTCATATTTGTGATGACGTAACAGTGGGCACGGCCCCTACACGTCATCGGGGGGGGGGAGCAACAGCCCCCCCTGGCTCCAGGGGGGAGCAACACCCCCTCCCCCCGGCTCCACCTTACTCTCGATCACTCTATCACACTGGGAAAATAGAGTGGCTTAGAGATAGAGCTAATCTCAAGCTACTTGAAACAACACCACTTTATTATTAATTATTTGGTTAATAATTACTACCGTATTGCTAATTATAAGATCATTCCGAGTCAGACCGGATAGCTTCCAGGAACATTAACAAAGAAACCCTCAGAATGGGGTCTGTAACCTACGTGAGACTCAACCTTGGTGATGCAGCTCCGGCATGTAACCTTCACCCAAGAACCACAAATGAAAGTTCCAGCTACATGTAAGTAAGTAAACGTGTTGTGTAAGAGAGAGGTATGAGTTACGGGGAGGGTTTGGGGTTGACCTTAACACCTCTCAGCCTCTGGAGGGTTATTAAGGTCACCTCAGTAGTATAGTGATGTTCAAGTTCACTACGGGCTCACCATAGCCCGTGCTACTTGCCCCGCTCCTGTGACAGGTAAGCTCCGGGGGCTCACCATAGCCCGTGCTACTTGCCCCGCTCCTGTAACAGGTAAGCTCCGGGGGCTCACCATAGCCCGTGCTACTTGGAACTTGTTCCGAGTAGCTGAATCTATAACAAGAACATCTAGTGATGACCTACCAGCGTGTATACCTCAGTCAAACGACAAGGCCGACGAGTACTTATCAACTGGGTGCCAAGTCATGTGGGAATAATAGGAAATGACATTGCAGACGAAGCTGCAAAACTTGCTACTAAGAGGAGAAATGTAGACATTTACATACCACAGAGTCTATCACAGATTAAGAAAGTAATTAGAAACAGAGCAATGTAAAAGATGTACAGTGACCACAACACAGCAGTTGCAACATCAGGATCTGCGGGTTGGTACAAGAATTCAACCAACTACGAACCACTTAGTTTGATGAAAGGGAGCAGTAGAGCAACAGAAGTGCATTTACATCGCATCAGGCTTGGATACCCATGTGCATGGGAAATAGCCTTACAAGTTCCGGAAGATGAGAGGAAATGTCAACACTGTGGAGAAATGCCCGACAGACCACTAGAACATTATCTAACACAGTGCACAGTTACAACCACAACAGACCACTAGAACATTATCTAACACAGTGCACAGTTACAACCACAACAGACCACTGGCACATTATCTAACACAGTGCACAGTTACAACCACAACAGACCACTGGAACATTATCTAATACAGTGCACAGTTACAACCACAACAGACCACTAGAACATTATCTAACACAGTGCACAGTTACAACCACAACAGACCACTGGCACATTATCTAACACAGTGCACAGTTACAACCACAACAGACCACTGGAACATTATCTAACACAGTGCACAGTTACAACCACAACAGACCACTGGAACATTATTTAACACAGTGCACAGTTACAACCACAACAGACCACTGGAACATTATCTAACACAGTGCACAGTTACAAACCCATTAAGATTTCAACTTAGATTCAACAGAGCAGAAGACGTTGTTAAACACGTGGGACAAAATCTTACTGAAGCGACCATACGAGTCATAAATACTCATACTCCGCCCAAGTAAAACAGAAACAAGCAACACTTAGTGGGCCAGCCAGAGGCTCAGGGCCCACCCAGTGGGCCAGCCAGAGGCTCAGGGCCCACCCAGTGGGCCAGCCAGAGGCTTAGGGCCCACCCAGTGGGCCAGCCAGAGGCTTAGGGCCCACCCAGTGGGCCAGCCAGAGGCTCAGGGCCCACCCAGTGGGCCAGCCAGAGGCTCAGGGCCCACCCAGTGGGCCAGCCAGAGGCTTAGGGCCCACCCAGTGGGCCAGCCAGAGGCTCAGGGCCCACCCAGTGGGCCAGCCAGAGGCTCAGGGCCCACCCAGTGGGCCAGCCAGAGGCTCAGGGCCCACCCAGTGGGCCAGCCAGAGGCTTAGGGCCCACCCAGTGGGCCAGCCAGAGGCTCAGGGCCCGCGCAGGAATATCCCTGCAAAAAAAAAAAAAAAAAAAAAATATACCTCAGTCCTGGACACCGCCCGGGACTAGAGTGATTGATTGATGAAGATTAAGCCACCCAAAAGGTGGCACGGGCATGAATTGCCCGTAAGTGGTGGCCCTTTTGAGCCATTACCAGTATCAAGAGATGATACTGGAGATCTGTGGAGGTGCGACTGCACCCTGCGTGACGGGAGATGTCTCCCCGCCCAGGACTAAGATTGATTGATTGATGAAGATTAAGCCACCTAAAAGGTGGCACGGGCATGAATAGCCCGTATGTGGTGGCCCTTTTGAGCCATTACCAGTATCAAGAGCTGATACTGGAGATCTGTGGAGGTGCGACTGCACCCTGCGTGACGGGAGATGTCTCCCCGCCCAGGACTAAAGTATTCTCTGTATATATATACACCGATAACCATGTATACATCTCTCGGTGTATACATTCCGTTAGGGATGGGCACGATAGCTTATAATATTACGTATCCCATAGAGGCATACATTACCCCATGAAGCCATTCCCAGTGGTGGGGCAGTTAAAACATAATACTAATTCACTATGTCAGGGACAGGAAGCCTGAGTGTATTCATGCACGTTAGGCTTTTATCTAGGCCCTCCCCCCAGGGTCGAATTACTGACCCCGCCCCGGATACAACCTCACAACCAGCTGACTATAACTCCTGAGTACCTACTTGCTGCTAGGTGAACAGAGACATTAGGTGAAAGGAAATGTGCCCAACCATTTCTGTCCCGCCCGGGATTCGAACCCCTGAATTCTCGCTTGTGTGTCGAGAAGGAACCAGGAGAAAGCACAAGGACAAACAGACTCCGGGGACAGGAAGACCAATGACACCCGAGGAAGTTGTCGTTAAAGATTAGCTATCTGGAACAAAGTTCCAAGTAGCACGGTCTATGGTGAGCCCGTAGTGGACTTACCTGGCACAGGAGCGGGGCAAGTAGCACGGTCTATGGTGAGCCCGTAGTGGACTTACCTGGCACAGGAGCGGGGCAAGTAGCCCGGGCTATGGTGAGCCCGTAGTGGACTTACCTGGCACAGGAGCGGGGCAAGTAGCACGGTCTATGGTGAGCCCGTAGTGGACTTACCTGGCACAGGAGCGGTCCGAGGAAGGAATTAAGCGACCTCACAACGACTCGATATAACACTTCCAACGGGTGAGGGCGTGAGAGTGAACAACCTCCTTAAAGAGGGTGATTGAGCGCGCTAAGTGTACGAGGAAGACGGATTACCAGGTGCTGGAGCGCCGTCCTGCCAGACCAAAATAGCTATAATGAACCCTGGTGGTGTTGGGGTCCTTGAGCTCCGTCCACGGCTGTGAGAGCATCCTTCCTTCACCAGGTGCCGCCAGGCTCCTCACGTCTTAATTACCCGTGAGTCAGGTGGGCCTTGAGCACCACACGCTCACTCACTCACACACACACACACACCACACCACACTCACACTCACACTCACCACACTCACTTACACTCACACTCACACACTCACACATTCACCACACACACACACACACACACACACACACACACACACACACACACACACACACACACACACACACACACACACACACACACACACACACACACACACACAGCACAACTAGGTGCTAGGTATTAATGCACACTAATGGGTATACCAACACCCCAAAATGTTCTGAACTCTGTATTGCACACATGTCAGGAAAAAGGCTTGGTCATCTCAGTAGAGAAAACAGACAGAAAACAGACGCTGTCCACCCAGACAGCGTGGGGCCGTTCGCAAAATGCAGCCGCATGATGGCTCTCTGCTCGACTATGTAACCAGATACAAATATCTTGGTCTTGAGGTTCCACTGTACCGCAATTTTGTAGCCAGACTGGGTCGCCAGTGTTGAGAGAGAGGCTCCGTGCTCTCAAGGCTGTGGCAGGCTACCATCCAAGCTATGGCGCAAATGTGAGAATTGTCAAAATGATGTATCTCTCATATATTAGGTCTCTGATTATGCTGCACCCATGCTTGCTCTAGTGCCTGAGAGAATGCTTGGAGGGCAGGAAAAGAGGCAAAACGAAGCCATGAGGATTATCCTCGGATGCCTCCGTACAACTAAATTACTAAACATGAGGAAGGAACTGAATATTTCATGTGTAAGTGATCGTATCACTGAAATTAATGCTTTAATTCGTATCAAGAAGCTTAGGCTAACCCACCCTAACCCCTGCACTGAAGCCCTCCAAGCCTTCTTCCTTGAAGATCAGCGTCCCTCCAAATGGATTACAAAAACTGTCATTATGCTCAGAATGTATAATATTCCTCACCCCTTCCAAGATAGAAAACAACAACACTTTCCTGTCCCATGGGAGATCACTCCTTTCCAGATTACTGTCCCTCCTTTCCTACCCAAGAACCTGATTAAAGAACAGGCCCCAGATTCACGAAAGCAGTTACGCAAACACTTACGAACCTATACATCTTTTCTCAATCTTTGGCGGCTTTGTTTACAATTATTAAACAGTTAATGAGCTCCGAAGCACCAGGAGGCTGTTTATAACAATAACAACAGTTGATTGGCAAGTTTTCATGCTTGTAAACTGTTTAATAAATGTAACCAAAGCCGTCAAAGATTGAGGAAAGATGTGCACGTTCTTAAGTGCTTGCGTAAGTGCTTTCGTGAATCTGGCCCCAGGCCTTTTGCTTCGACAAGAAGCAGAGTACAATGCCTTAAATTAAAATTAACATAAATGTAAGTATAAATTTAATAAGATTAAAATATGGAATTAATGTAAATAATATGATTTAATAATGAAAGGAAATTAGCGTGGTATGTAAGATGACCTAGAGGGCAGCACACAGTGTAACGGGCTGTTGGTGTTGTTATAGATTCAGCTACTGGGAACAAGTTCCAAGTAGCACGGCCTATGGTGAGCCCGTTGCTTACCTGGCACAGGAGCGGGGCAAGCAGCACGGGCTATGGTGAGCCCGTAGTGGACATACCTGGCACAGGAGCGGGGCAAGTAGCACGGGCTATGGTGAGCCCGTAGTGGACTTACCTGGCACAGAAGCGGGGCAAGTAGCACGGGCTATGGTGAGCCCGTAGTGGACTTACCTGGCACAGGAGCGGGCAAGTAGCACGGGCTATGGTGAGCCCGTAGTGGACTTACCTGGCACAGGAGCGGGGCAAGTAGCACGGGCTATGGTGAGCCCGTAGTGGACTTACCTGGCACAGGAGCGGGGCAAGTAGCACGGGCTATGGTGAGCCCGTAGTGGACTTACCTGGCACAGGAGCGGGGCAAGTAGCACGGGCTATGGTGAGCCCGTAGTGGAC